AAATCAGTGGGATATCACAACGGATGGAGGGTGATGCTACTCCACATTGGGTGGAGATTACTTCACATACTCCAGGTCATTCTGTATTATTTGGGGTTCCAGCTGATGTGGCACAGTTTAGAGATCAAATTGTTCAGGATGCAGATGATGAATTAGTAGATTCGAGTGCAGCTGGTAGATGTAGCTGATATGGCCATTGGGTCACCTCAGGTGGAGGTGTTTGGATCGTGTCAGTTTGGGGTCATTGGTGAAGCTATATATGGCCATTGGGTCACCTCAGGTGGAGGTGTTTGGATCGTGTCAGTTTGGGGTCATTGGTGAAGCTATCAGCCGCAGATTGGGTGTTGATGTTGATGAAGAGTTGAGAACTCTTCTTTTGGATTGAGGGTCTTTGGAGGCCATTGGGTGAACTACGTGAAGACTTGATTCCTTGGACTAGAGGATACGTAGGCAGTCTTTATGATGCAACCGATTTGGTGAGTAGACACTGTTTGTTTTGGGTGAGTGTTCGCACTCCCATATGAGTCTCGACTTGTGGATGGAGTCTGTTGTCATAAGTCCGTTGTCATGGCGTACTTGACGCAACAAGTGAGGCATTTTGGTATGATCAGTGTCGGCTCAGTTTTGGGAGAATGTTCGCCGAGGTGAAGATTTATAGGACTGGCAGAACAGTTGGAGCATGGGGAACGTTTTGGATGGTCGGCGGTCGACCGCGAGATCGTGGCGGTCGACCACGTTCGTGCACGGGGCCTCACTGTGCCTCTTGATCTTTGGCGGTCGACCGTCGTTTTCTTCTGGAGTTTGGGCTTCTTTTTGGAGTTGGTGCGGTCGACCGTGGCAGTCGAACGCGTCGACCGCCGAAGCAGTTTGGGCTGAATCTGAGTTCCAGACCCGTTTCATTTTGGATTGTTATAAATACCTAAGGGGTGTTTCTAGGGTTTGGTGTGCAAGGGTTTTGAGCTGAAATAGAGGGGTTTTGTTGGGCTTCTAGTGTAGGAGCATTTGGAGAGATCAATTGTGATTTGAATACGGTTTTTTGTGAGATTTGTAACTCTAATTGTATCCCCTTGATTTTTAATAGTGAAAACTCCTCCCTTCCTTACCCTGTGGACGTAGGCATCCGCCGAACCACGTTAAAACTAGTGTATCTTATTTGTGGCATTGATTTGGTGTGTTTGCTCTTCTCTCTCGGCTATTTGGTATTGGATCTCGGCATCGGGGGTTTCCCCAACAGGCTTATTCATGCTATTTTAAAACGTGTTGGAGATACTCAATGGGGGTTCTCGTCTAGATTATATTTCTAGTTCGCTCAAGATGTTCGACGCAACTTCTATATTTATATGTGAGCTTGCTAAAGAAGAAAATTACTCAGTGTGGAGAAACGGAATGTGCTTAGAATCATCTATTCTCATTTGATTTTGCTTTCTTCTTGCATCTTATGAATGAGCTTTTGGAAATCACCAACCTTCTTTGTCAAGCTTTGCAACATCAATTTCAACATATCTGAGAGCAACAAAATGTTGATGTTCCAAATATGGGTTCTCAATATGTTGCAAGGCATGGCCGAGCTTGAAGAAAAGGAGATCATATTACCATTGAGCATTATTATCAAGTACGTATGTTCCTTCAAACAATGGATCATATTTGTCATTCAACATGGATCATATTTGTGAATTAGCTGAAAAGTATTATACTTTTGGATTTCACGGAGGACAAACTAGCGCGCTTGATAATAGAACTTCAACATTACCATCATAATGTTTGTAATCATTCCGAATGACAAAAGTAATCTAATACTCAAGAATTATGCCAATGCTTGGTGAGAACAAGAAAGTTATTAACTCATCAACTTATTGATACATTGGTTAAGCTTGTGCTTACTTTCACGTATTAACGGCAACTACGGAACGAACATTCTCGATCATGAAGATAGTGAAGACAATGCTTCATGACAAGATGGAAGATTAATTCTTGGATGATTCTTTGATCTTGTACATAGGAAAAGAAATTGCCAAGAACTTCAGCACAAATTCAATGATTTCAATCATAGCAGAGTTTAGTTCAACGGAAGAACGTCGAGCACAACTTACTTTGTTGTTTATTATGAATTTTGTGGTATGAGAATTGTTGGCAATCTCCGTTCACTTTATGTCCATGCAGAAATGAATTTTGCTTCATTTTAGCATAAGAATTTTATAGCTTTAGGTTAAATATGAAACTAAATATGATATAATGTATATTATTGTCTCAATATTTGTAAAAGACACATGAGTTATATATTTTTAGGTAAGAAGAAACTTTAAAAGATTGGAGCATAATGGTTGGTTGACATATGTTGGAATGATTCAAATATTCATTATATTTTTTTCATAAAACTTCGATTCCAGGTTATTCTTTCACCACTTACATATAATGAAACTTTATTATACATTGCCATATTTGGTTTTTTTTTATTTATATACTATAACAGTTTTACATTAGTCTCCCCAATAAAAAATTCTTGGCTTCGCCACTAGATATGGGCACAGACAAGGATACAGTTACGCAACATGATGAATTAATAAAAGGTAGGGTACCGAAACACGGCTAAAGTGCATGGTTTGTCATAGTTTTGTGCTAGATACGCAAATGACCTAATGAAAAATCATAGTTTTTAAGGCTAAAAAGAACTCAATCATCGTCTAACGAATTCCAAAATGGATGTGAAGTGTAGATATATGTCCAAGAAGTGTATGGAGAGTGTTTTAAATTAAACATGTATGGTATAATTGAGTATTCGTTTCAGTAAAATTTAAGGAGTGTCCAAGAAGTGTCGAGTGAAGGTAAGGGTATGAAATGTGCCAATACGGACACAGCTTCACGGTAGAAGTCTAAGTAACATGACTATCTATCTATTTTCTATCTATCTCAAAGATATCAACAGCTTTTCTCTCCTTGCTTTTCTGCCAGCAAAACCATAGTTTATAAAGTACACAATTCCATTGACTCGAATTTGCTACTACCAATGTTTGCAAAAGCTTTTTGAAACTCGCTTCGAAACTCGCTTCACAAGTGAAGTCTAAACGCTTTGAAACTCAAGAGTGAAGCTCTTTATCCCTTGAAGCATACACATCATCGCTCAAATCATAATTGAAGCGTGCACTTCATCCTTCATAAAGCGCTTTTCTTTTGAAGCACACGCTTTAGATAAGATGGGAGAGTATAAAAGAATTTTTGACTAACATTAAAATGCCCATATATTTTCAATATGACCATGTAAGAGTGAATATTATATATAATCAAGGTTGCTGATAGCGGATTGCGTCGCATCGCGACGAGTTACCGCTGAGGCTATTTCGGGCTATTGCGACAAAATAGTGGCAAATAGCGCACGATCAAATAACAGTCAAATATAAATATATTTAAATATTCTAAATAATAAGAAAAATCATATAAAAATCTAAAAATTCTATAAAATATAAATATATTTAAATATTCTAAATAATAAGAAAAATCATATAAAAATCTAAAAATTCTATAAATTATTTCTTCATTCATTTCATAATAAGAAAAATCATATAAAAATCTAAAAATTCTATAAATTATTTCTTCATTCATTTCTGTTGCAGACAAGTCCATATACCTCCCCTACTACAGTGTTTTTGTTGTGGAAAAAACCGCCATTCCCAGTAAGTGAAGGGAAAACCTGCTACAGTAATCTCCAAAAAGCCGAAAGCCATTTACCACTTCTTGGGGAAGAATAAAAAAACCACGGCCAGCAGTACATGCTCCAGCACAGAGAAACCCAAAATAATGCCAAAGAGAAAACGAAGAGAACAAAGAATCCATATGCCATAAAAAAACCAGCTATATATACCCGATTGCATTGGGTTATCAGATTGAGCACTGCAACAGGCATGAGATGAGACCTTTGTTCCTCCATAAACCAGTTACACAACCTGGAAGTCGTCGGTCGTCGGGAGTGGGAGCTTGGACGGCATCGCTGGAAGTTGGCGTCACTCGTTGCTGGAGCTGAGAGAGGCGGGGAGTGGGGGAGACTGGAAGAGGCAGTCGGGAGTGGGGAATACTGGGAGAGGAGGCTAGGGCACAAAATAAGGGGAGAGGTTTAATATTAGTTGGTACGGGTCGGGTTCGGGGGGTGATTCTCATTAAAACCTGATGCGGGTAATAGCGCTTTTAAGCGCTTTTAACTGCTAACACGCGCTTTTCGAACACAAAGCAGTTTTTACCGCTTAAGCACGCCGCTAATGCCTTAAGCGTAGCGCTGATGGCCCGCTTCCGCTATTCGCGCCGCGATTGCCCCGCTTTTTGCCGTTATTTACAACACTGTATATAATGCATGTAGCTTAGTTTATTATGATTCGTTTCTATACTTCACATATTTAATTCTTATTTACTAATCAGAACATGAATGTATATATTTGTAAATTATAATACCAGTATATATTATATGTTCATAATTTCCACAATTTTAAAATTAAAATGCTTAAACTCGTGAAGCTTACGCCTCAACTTTGAAGCTTACGTCTCGCTTCATCATAAAGTCTGGCGCTTCGCTTTGCATTTCCACTTTTTTAAACATTCCCTTGTGATCTAGTTGAACACTAAATAGGAATCACTACTTTGCCAGATCGATCTGATGTTATGTTGTGATAGAGCTACTTCTGATCTCAAAAGTAGAGCTTCTCTATTGGCTACATTGTTAGGGAAGGGAAGTTCAGCCAGTATGCATAGTGTGACTCTGGAAATGAAAAACAAGAGGTGTTGATGTGCTCCCTAACATAAACATGCAATGTGCTGTGAGATTGCTTTTCCGGACATAATACACAAAACAAGATTAGCGTGGCCATGAAACATAAGATATTAATTAAAAAAGAAAATCCTTAGTCGCCCCTTAAAATATATGAATCACAGTGCAACTTAACAATCAATTAATCGCATGTAACTTCATCAAGTTATGTTTATCACATGCTGAGAAGTTCAGAAAAGATAGAAATTACCCAGCTTGAGTTGTGGTGAAAATGGTAGGCTTTCCAAGTATTGGAGATTCCTGTAAAAGCAACCGAATCTGCATTACTGAACATATATATATAAGCTGAGTAAATTAAAATAAACAAGGGAGATGAATGGTCAAATTGGTATAAAATAACCAAGGCCATCGCGTCAAAAGACAATATAACAATAGGATGGGTGGAAGAAGAAGAAACGCATGTTTAAATCACAGTTTCCAAAATATAAGCTCATTTGTCAGCCATTCAAATGGAAAATAACAATAACGAAGTTTTACAATATAACAGTAAGAAAAACAGGAGCAACTCATGTAACTCTATAATGAAGATGAATGAACAAATCTTAAATGATGTACCTCATACTCCTCAATTTCATGGCCTTCAATGACAAAGACACTAGGATCATCAGGAGGCGGTCGAAGCAGCTCCTGAGCTTCTTCCCATGTTAGTTTTAACTCAAGTGAGTCCTCATTCTCAATTCTTAAGCGTTTATTTCTTGATCCAGGAGTGCTACCTGTCCTACTAAGGCCTTGAGAAGACTTAGTAGCAGCCACATCTTTCTGTATAAATCCAGTTTTATCAAATTTAGACAAGATGGCCTCATCTGCTGTATTGTACAGCTTCCTTGATTCTGCACTACACTTTTGAGGTCGAAGAGGACCATTGGAACCAAACTCAGTTGCATTTATGCTGCTCTCTGGAGGTGTTGAGAAACCATTTCCAGTCTTAAATGTTTGTGAATCCTGTCAATGACATTAAAGGTTAGGGGAAAAAACAGGTCTTAATATATAAAATAAAGGTAAATATTTGAAATTTATTTACCCACATCGTAGAAGAGGCATACTGATAAAAATGGTGGCTTGCAGATTATATACACATTCATACAAAGAAGATACCAATTTTAATCAGATGCAGTAATTGGTATTACGACCAACTTTTGCATGTGAACCCATGTAATTGTATTATTGATATACATACTAAGTAGCATGTACCTATATCCAAGATTCTCGTGATTTTACATGGACCAGTTCATCATAGTATATGTGCGCATGCAATTTGGAATATTAAAATATTATTAGGATCATATTGATTGAAATTCTGTGAAGAGCAAAAAGGATAGCAAGGCGGGATGGGGACTCAGTCTTTAGGGTTTAGCAGAAAAAAGTGCCAAGGTGTTTTGGAATAAATTTATCTTTACAAATTTTTTTTTGTGAATTCATACACATGTTCCTTCATGCTTCTTTATCTATATTGAAAAGTTATGCGTGCGGTTTGCACCTCACTTCCCTCAGGCGCACTTATCGCATTGCAAACCAAGTATGTCGCGCAAAAGAACTTTGCGCCCTGCATTGTTCCTCACACCTTGATAACACTGATAACTAAATTTATCAGAAATGTTCTATATCAAATGAGACAGACTACTTAAAATTTGCAGTTTCAATCATTTTGACAGTAACATGTAGAAACTATGATGCTCTATGATTACATACCTGTTCAGAGATATTTGAAGCTTTCCTGAATCCCATGACCAACTTCCCCTCTGGATCTACTCGACTAAATGTTACTGCAGAATTTCGTTCGGTATTTTTCCAGTTAGAACTTCTGCATTGCTTTATCCAAAACTAAAAACATCAAGTATGATTGCAATTTGTTTTGACATTATTATCAGATAATAAGGTCACAACACGAGAAAAAGGGCTAAAGAGGATAAGATAAGGTATGTAAACTTATTTCTTTTTATACGTGGCAGGATCAGCCATCTTAGCCCAAAGGAATGCAGCATTAACTATGTCAAAGTGCCATTATGTTTAAAGCAACAGAAATTAATGCAAGCAAAAATTCCATTCAAATAAGCACAAAACTTAGACAAAATAACCTGAAAAGTTGGCTGTGAATTTAAACTTTATAAAGATATGTTTAAAGCAATTAGTTGGAAATTAAGTTGAAGTTCATCTGATCCATCCATTATCTGTGTCACTATTTCTTTGTTTATTTATTAAAGATCCAAACAGCCTATTATCTTGGATAAAATCCTAGCCTTTCATTTATGTGTTCTCAATCTAAACCCAATAGAATAATCACAAAAATGTAAGCCCTTTGGAAAACAACTCATGTGACCTGATCTGTTGCCCAAACTTTTGAGCAAAAGGACAATAATAAACCTAACTCTCTCACTCTCCTCCCCTTCGTTTTAGAAAACCCATTTTTCTTCCTGCATCTTCTTTCTCACAAAGAGCCAAGCGAACAAACATCCGCCTCTCATCTTCTCCATGAACTTTTCCAACTCTCTCCTCCTTTCCTTTCTTCAACCCCCACTGCCACCGAGCAGCACAATCATCATTTTCTATGCATCACTCAGGGTCACTAATACCTTGAAGGAAGTTGGTGTCACGTGACACCACTTCCTTCAAACTAGATCCGCCCGTGTCACTGGATACTCAACAGAAAACGAAAATCACGCCATGGTATGTTAGAATTGTTAAGAGTATAGAACTATAACCCTCACCAACTTCAAAGTTTTAGTGTAGTGGTCAGGACCTTTGACATGGTACAAGAGTAATCCATGTTCAAATCTTCCTAACCACAAATTTAAAGTAGATTAGTTTTGATCCATGAAAGGGTGGTCAACCTGAGAGGGCATGTTAGAGTATAAAATTTCAACCCTCACCGTAACTTTGGAGTTCAAATTTTTGGTGTAGTTGCTGGGACCTTTGATAAAAGTCAAAGATATATCAAAGTTCATGACACTAGAACATGAATATGAAGTAAGGGCAAAGATAAATACAATTCGAAGCAGCAGTTTGTTTCTTTTCCCTTTTTGTTTCACATAATTCTTATTTGCTTATTTATTTGCTCAGAGAGATATTTCAGCAAGTCCTCCATGAATTTACCTGTGTCACCAGCTTGTAGTTGCATTGATTGAATGCAAGGAGTAACCCCCTCCAAAACATACATCCTACTATTATTGTTTGGCCAGAAACGAAACTGAAACACCCACTCTTTGCTATTAGCGTCTTGAACCTTTAGAGGAAGTCCTTCTGGTTGAGATATTGGGGGGAAGTATGCCTATTTGGGATAACCAAACATGTAAACCAACATTCTTCTAAATATCAAGGTTTATATGTAACCATTGCCATATATAAAAACATACATGTATGTACGTGTATGTGTGTGTCTCTGTGTGTATGTGATATATGTGTGCATGTGTGAGGGAAGAAATGGTATGAGGTAGTGGCTCAATTTGCTAAATGAACCACCGAGAAATAGCTATGTGGTGAGCCTCACCCTTCTAGTCGCATCAAAAGATGTTGGTCTTACCACTTCCATCTCTTGGTAGCTCATTTTGCTAAATGAGCAGCCACTTTATAAACATCAAACCCTTTATATAGAGGTAGAATAAACTTAAGTGGGTAAGAGCTCTTGTCCAACAATTTATTATTAATTGATTTTATTTTGAGATGCATGTACACATCAAGGCTATCTTTTAGATGTGTACCTTGATGTATCACATGCTAGCACGAATCTCCCCCTCCCGCCACGCACACACGCGCACAGTCTCACCCCCACCCATATGTGTGTATACATAAATATGTGTATATATGCATATATCTGTACATATATATGTACGTATCTGTGAGGGGATGGGTGACTGGGTGCATCCGTCTGTACACACAAAAAAAACAAATATACATATATGCATAAATATATGTCTGTAATATGTGTGCATGTGCGTGTGCGCGCGCGCATGCATGGGTGTGTGTGCGGATGCAAGTGTGCACATATATACATCGCATTTGTGTCTATATATATATATATATATAGTAAGACTCTTATCAACTTAAGTTGATGTCCACCAAACTTCCTAGCCACGCATTTATTAATATAAAAAACCTTTTCATATCATGCAAGGATCCCTAGACAATATGAGTATGCACGTATAATACACGTGGTTAAATACCATAATTAAGTAGTTTTGATTTATTTCCTTACTAAAATTTATTCATCGGTTTCATTTTAATAGTTTTTGCTCTCTTATAACTCCAAATTTTAGTGTTGAGATTAATTTTCTTGATGTTTGTTTGAATGTGTTACAGTGAATTTAAAATTTCATGTTGATAATTGAAAAGAAAACAAATGTACTCCAAAGCCAATTTGAAGTTTTATTTTATTAGGACCAACATGAAACCGAGCTTGACCTAAAAGTATAGAGTTGAAGTGAAAAACACTTAAAAAATAACATTATAAAAGGAAGATAAATAATTAAAGCCAATAAGCCAAGATGATTGATTAAAATGATCTAGAACGAAACTAAAGAGTATGAAATTTATTCCTAATCATTGATAGACTTCATTAAAAATCATAAATTAAAGATTAATGCTAATTCTAGTACCCTTTTATATAATAAAAGTATCTACATAAATATATAAATGTACTAAAAAAAGTTCATGAAAAATCTCTTCTAAAGATTCTTTATTTCACTAAAATAATTAAAGTATTCTATAAACTATTCAGAAAAAATAATGTATTTTATTCCTTCTGTTTCTTTTTTATTGAGTCGAGATCAATTTTTCTCCACCTTTATCTTTTTTCCTAGGCAATTTTAGAATAGTCTATTCATCGTCTACATCAATTGTGACATCAGGCTGGAGCTGGATTTCTAGTGTTGTTATATTTTCCTGAGCTCGTTCATCTTTAGTCTTCTTATCTTACGTCACAAAGAAGTTGAATGCATTTCTGATGTTTAACACAAACTTTTGGAAATACAAATTTTGATTATTTTTTGTTTCAACGAGAACAAATGTTAATTTCATATATATGAATTTTTTGTGTTTCTAAGTTATGATTTAAACAATGTTAGGAATTACCATTTTTTTCTATAATGAATTCTTCTATTGTGCATCCTATAAGAGTTTCTGATACATCAAATAATATTGCTCATGTTTTGTCCGTGTCATTTTCCATGAGGATCTGAACTAAATAATTGTCTTTTTTATTATCAATTTGCCTTAGATTAAAATGTTAATATTTAATTTTGATATGTTTATTTCATGAAAAAAGGATATTACTTAATCTTGATACTACATCATTGGCTATTCTGTGGTATTTATCATTAGGCACTCTTATTAACATCTTTATCTACATTCTTATTGCAGCCTTTGCAAGTGTAAAACCATGGCTCAACTCTATTATAAATGGTAGTTATCTTTACATTATAGGTGCAATAATGTGTCTATATATTGGTAAGCTATTTTTAAGTTTAATTGTGTGAATTTTAGAGTAGGTTTTATAGGATCATACCTCTTTGCAATGTTGTGATGATTGTATATATCAGTAATCTTAATTTGTGTTGTATTTGTAAATAGTCTTATTGGAGATATTTTTATCTTGGCAGCTTATTCCAAATGAGCCTAGCATATTAGCTTTAAAACATAATATTTTTCTTTATTGTGTTATATAGATATTTGTTTGGTTTACTTACTATTCTCATATTTCTTCAGTAAGTTATATCTTTAGGTTGATATATATTGTTAACACAAATTACGATGGCATTTATATTTTCTCTACAATTTTGAGACAGATATACAGTAATTTTATATTTAGTGGTCTTTAATAAGAATTTTAGTAATGACATATGTCACCTTCATATTTAAAGATCTTGAAATCTAACAGTACTCTTACATGCTTATCTTTGAATGTCTTCAATTCATGATCCTTCGTTGATTGTCATATCCCTAAATAAAGTTACATGCGGAGTCATGCCACTATATAGAAAAAAGAAAAAGATCAATTTTAATTTTTTTTTTTACTTACACTATTGTAAATAAGTGTCATGTGTATACATTTTATCTATTACAGTGTTTTTCCTCCCCTTATATGGCTTGTTATATTTCATAACATAGTTGATCAATGACTTCACTTAGTCTATTACAAGATTATTTGTATGTAATTTTATATTAATTTTATGGTTCTTTTAATATTTGAAGAATAAAATATAAAAATTTACAAATACTTACTATTTTTTTGTATCTTCCATGGAGAATACTTCTTTGATTGGGACAGAGTTGCTCAATATGTTCTTTAAAGGGAACTTAGTTGGTGCTTTTGTGATAGATGTCTTTTGCTAATGTCAATTAAAATGATTCATGAATGTTTCTGAATTTTGGTTTTATTTTCTTGAGTAATTTCTAGATTTGATGTGTACTGATTATAAGTTCTAAAATTACAGAGCTTTTTTGTGATTTTTAACTTTTAAGGGAGTTTTTGCAATTTTATACCTTTGAGATTTTTTTATAAATTTTAATTTCTAAGTGATTGATGGTAATTCTTTAAATTCATCTATGTTGTTAGTAAGTTTTTAAAATTCCAAAATTTCAGGATGTTTTTTGTAATTTAAGCATTTGAGGTTGTTTCTATAATTTTTAAAATGTTAAGGGTGTTAATTAAAAATTTTAAAGTCTTTAGGGTCTTGTTAATTTCTAGATTTCATTTTTATTTTTTTAGGTTTTGAAAAGTCAAGATGTTTCATGTAATTTTGAACTTTTGAGGGTATTTTGTGCAATTTTTAAAAAAATTTGGGTTTTTAATAATAATTCGCGTATTATAATATGTTAGCTATTTATGATTTCTTAATCTTATTTTTTTAAACTGTTGAGCTATAGGTAGTTCACGTAGGATTAGTATAGGATATAATTAGTATTCAAAATAATATTTCATGTATATATATATATATATATATATATGCGCACAAAAGAGGATATCATTGCAGGATCCGGTAGGCAATTGAGTGGTTAAGAAGTTTGTGGATACTTTTTTGCTATTCACTAAGTTAGCTAGCACAAGTTTTGCTCTATCTCTCTTCTCTCTATATATATATATCATATATATATATATATATCTATATATATATATATGATATATAGTATATATATTATGCAAGGGATCGCTAGGCAATAATGAATGGCTAAAAAAGTTTGGTTGGACACTTTTGGGCTATTAGTTAATTGAACAAGTTTTGCTCTCGTTCTTTTCTCCTCTTTCTTCTCTCTCTCTCCCTCCTCTCATCATCTATTATTATATATATATAG